AAAACAACACGATTAAACATATCATTTATTCAGGTCCTATTAATAAAAATAAAACAAAAAATACATAAAAATAATAACACAAACTCTTGCAAACAATTGCCCGTATGAATAAAGAAAAGGAAAACCTTCCTTGTAAAATTTAAAGCAAATATTTTGCCAATATATATATATATACATAAATATATTGGAATAAACAGGCGACGCTGAACAAAAAAATAAACAAATGCAAACAATAATAATAAATGTTTAGATAACAAAAACACAATAACTTTTTTTATTAGGTTTTCACTAGTTTTATAACTTGTGGTCCTCGTACTCGCTAAGGGCGTCTAGGCGAAATAAGACCATGAAAGCAGGGTGTAATAAAAATAATTTACTTTTCCACAATGAAAAATATATTTTAAAAATTAAAAGAGCCTATTTTAGGCTCGTAAAAATGTCCTTTTAGGACAATAAATCAAAATTTCGCCATTTTAGGCACTTAGGCAAAAACAAAGGGGTGTCAAACGCTTTATTTTTTTAAGTTTAGGATAATTTCAAGGTCCCAAACAAATGCCTGAACTAGAAACAAAAATGCATTTTGCCTAAAATCCGGTCCTTCGTAATCACTCTTCTGGGCATTTTTGTTTAGTTCAGCTTGGATTTGAATAGACTGTAAATGATTTAATAGTTATTCTTTATTTTAATAAAAATGGCACTATATACATATAAAATGTTACCCAAGAACGTAAATAAAAAAAATGTTTAAACGCAACATTTTAAGTAGGCTCCACTATAACCTGGAATTTTTTACACATTTTCTTTAAGCGACTTATAACGTACGAAAGTAAGTTTTCTATTTAGTAGAAATTTTCACCCACCAAAACTTTTCTTTACTTATAAAACAATCAAGATTTCTACATTGCTAAGAGTTTTCCTTATATCAAAACTTTTATGTTATTTTAAAATATTTAAATTAAAATTACGTACAAGCAAAATAGGTTTTATTTTTTATGTTCTAGCTTTATCATAAATTGATACATTATATACCAGGCGAATGAGTATGAGTATGGGAACGTATGGCAGGCCCCAAATATATTATCATCCACTAATCTCCCGGGGTTATTTTACCCCCTTTCCGTTCTCCTGAGTACCCCGCCAAATCACAGCATTACCTGTGTTTGTTGGATCCGAAGTTTTTACGCCGGCTGGTAGATCCACCCTAGGAGGTCGTGGATGACAGTGTCAAAGGTTAAGGCCGCTCCACGGATTTTTGTCAGCCGGGTTTAGGAAGGGTTTTTGGAGGACATTGAACTGACCCAAAACTAAGTACAATCCGGAATCCTCCTTAACCAGGGCTTTAGTAATAACCCCATTCATTTGGTATTCCTGAATGGGGGTGGGTGGATTAGTATGCTGCTAGCGCCTTTCCTTGATGGTGTACTTCCTGTTCGTCGCTGTCCGAGTCGGATTTCGGTTCCTGATAGCCGCTTTAGAATTGTTTGCCCCCCTGTGCGATTGAGTCTTATCTTCAGAACCGAAGTGTTGCCGGCCGTACCCAGCCGTAATTAGTGCCCTCTGACTATGTGGAAATTCGTTTAACCTACTGGAATTGTCGACCCTCGAATTATTTTTTTTCCCACTGTGCGTGATCCCCATTCACTTGGGGTTGGATCCATCTTTGCGCCTCACTGTGCATTGCAGCTATACGCTTAGAACGGTTTTTACTTAATTTATTACCCCCTACGTCTTAGTAATCTATAGATGTAACCATAAATAAATAAATTTCTTTAGGATGGTTTATTTTGCCTAATGTTTATCTTAACTTGAGTGATTAATGGCTTCTTATGTGCCCTTGTGTTTATAGTTTTTTTTTACTGTTTCATTTGCATGAGAATCTTGGAAATTGTTTGCGACTAATTAATTTTACCTGAAGAATTATTGTTAGTTAAAGGTTGCGTATTTCGTATTAACTAGTATTAATATTATTGGGTGGTCATGGTCATGCAATTTGGTAGCTACTTATCTAGTTTATGCAGACTTGGACTTGCCGCCCGCACGTGTGGTAGTCCAGAAAATTTTCATTGGAACTGATCGTCTCTCTTACACCTTTTAATCAGGTCAAACACTTGAGGACTTAGTCCAGGGGGAGGTACCACACACAATTTGCACTCTTTTGCACTTTATTATTAATAATTAATTAAACGTAAACTAAAAGAAAATGTAACAATAATTAAACTAATAAAATGAATTAAATAAACTATCAGAGTAAATCTAATCTAAACAAAATTGGTTTGAAATACAATAATTACTATAGATACCTTCCACTGAATCAATTAAAGCTGGCAAATAGAGGCGTTGGAAAAGCTCGATAAAATCTAGATAAGAACTGCTGATTCAAGGGTAGCGTTGGTTTTTTATAGACTATTTTAAGGAAAAATTGGAAGAGATTAATTCTTAAAGACCATTGGTCAAAATCATGGTAACTCCCCCCCGCAAGGGTCATAGAAAATTGACTGGTTTAAAGGTCATAAACTCCAATACCAATCTAAAATGACAAAGGGCTATTGGCCTTAAGATAAGCGGTCAACTTGCTCTTAAGGAAGAAGGCGTTAACTTTTGACTTAAGTCAAATTAAGGAATATTTGAAAGGCATAAAGCAAACTTAGTGGGGGTTTTACTAGGCATTGGGGCGGAGATTTTGCCATTATAGCCAACTTCATATAATATATATATATATATATATATAATATATATATATATATATATATATATATATATATATATTTCATTGATTTTATTGAGTCTTTCTTTTCGTCAAGCCATGCTTATAAGTATTATCAATGTACACTTAACTTAAATTGGCTGATCTAGTATTTACAAAACAATACAATATATCTTATTTCAAATCTATAATCTCTATTTCTAGGTTTAGTTTTAAACTGAATCAATTCGTTATTCTTTCAATTACATTAATTTTATTATATTTTTAACGCTATTCATTTAGATGTAAAATTCTTGGTTTACAGAATGTATGGTTGTAATATGCTTGGCGGCTTTTGACGATCCGGATACCCTGTTGTAAAATAATAAATTTCCTTAAAAAAAACAATAAATTTATTTTTGACGTTATATTTTAAATACCCTTTTCAAAATTACTTGTTTCACACATGTTGAGGATTTCTAAACCTTTCTAAGAAACTTGTAATTGCAGATCTTTCCAAGAATTATTTTAACCGTCTTTTTTTAACTTTCTCCCTATTATAAGATGCAGTAGCAGTAGAAGCACTTTTTTACAGTTTATATACAAGTTTATATACAAAAGTGCTCTTTTAGTTCCACCCTTACTTCTTAAGAAGTCCCATAAGCCAACTGTGAAAGTAATGATAATGTATAGGCACTACAGGGTGGAATCTTTACCCGAAATCAGTTAAATATAGTTTACTGCCTGCGAAATCAAAAGGTCAGTACAACTGAATATAAACTTTACAAATATTGGCGTTGAGAAATTTTTATATTAAGATAATAAAATAATTTTCACATTTACTATTATTTTACAAGAACGGTAGTATGACATTTTACAGCTGTCAACTAACTTCAGCCCAAGACTAAAACGCCATAAAGCCACAACTGGTCAATGTGTATTTAAAACGTCACATAGTGTCATGAAAACATGTACTTTTTAAAGGTGGGAGTAGAAAATAGTATATTATGTATCAACTTTGATAAACGCCATTTAGCCACGAATTTTAATTAGGCACGAGCGAGCTTCTAAGCGAGAGTTTAATTAAGTGATTGTCTAAAAAGGTTTACAAACGAGTTTCATACTATACTTTTTCTACTATAAATACTTAATATTATCCAAAAATGATTCAAATTAATTTTTTTTGTATAGAGCGAGGTATAAAACAATAGAGTAACCATTCTAACTTTAAGTTAGTAACTTGGAAATCTGTTTTACCAGCGCGCCGGTCAAAATGTAATTTTTTTTGAAAATATAGAGATATAGAAGCAGTTTTTCACAGTGAAAGTAAAGATAATGTTTTATGGGAACTCCACAGTGGAGTTTTCACCCGTATGACATTTGACAACTGTCAGCTAACTTAAGAGATAAAAATTTAAAGCCAATTTTAATTTATAAATATTTGACATTTGGCAAATTTAACCACACTTTTCCCATGCATATGACTAAAATGCCCAAAAGACTCTGTTATTAACTTCAGCCCGTAACAAAAACGCCATAAAGGCACAGCTTGTAGGAGTAGATAATAGTATATTATGTAACAAGTTTAATAAACGTCATTTTAGTTACGAGTTTAATTAAGCACGAGCCAAGCTTAATAAAAACGAGTGTCTAGAGAAGTATAGAAACGAGTTGCATACTATATTTTATCTACGACGAACACAAAATAAAATCTAAAGCCAATTTTATTTCTTAAAAATCTATCAACTGTCACCCAAATTTAACCTCACTTTTTCCAAATTTATAGTAAACTTCAGCCCGTGACTAAAAACCTAAAATTCACTGTTGCTAAGTTCAGCCCGTGACTAAAATGCACAGCTCGTTAATGTAGGAATAGATAAAATAAATTATACAGGTTTTATGAAATTTTAGTTTCTAAAAGATTTAAAAATATTAAACATGTAGGACCTAAGGTATCTAATAGTATATTATGTATAAGGTATCTAATAGCATATTATGTATTATGTTTGATAAACGCCATTTTAGTTACGAATTTTAATTAGGTACGAGCGAAAGTTACTTCATAACAAAAAAAAATAATTAAAAATATATATATTAAAATTGTAAATTCCAAAATAAATATATTTTGAAATTTACAATTTTAATATAAAAATTCATTTTACACATGTAATAGGGATTTTGATATCTACCAAAATTGCATGAAATGGAAAAATGAAAAAAATGGTGTGAAACTGATGTTTTTGTTATTAACGCCGACAAAACGTTGGTACGTTTATTTATACACGTTATTATAATAATTCTCAATCTGTTTTTATAGTTATGGCTTCGTGCGGAACAACCATTAGAGCAAACGGCACCTACTTCGTTCATAATGGATATCCTAATCAGTATGATGGAACTGGATCATGTCAAGTAACTCTGCTCAAATCCGAGCCCGATGTCTGTCAATATAGGTAAATAACTTTGGATTGAAGCATTCTGTTCTTGTGTGTTTTAGTTTCAGAAAAGTTTATTATGTAATTAAAACTTTATTTTTACTACATTTAGGTTTACCGTGTTCACCGATAGACAAGTGGTTGGAAACTTTTTTACATTGTGTTTGAGAACACACTTTTTATTATTAACTTACTGTTAGTGTCTGGTAAAACTTGCACGTTTCAAATTAAAGTTTGTAAATCATAGCATTTTTGATGTTTCATCAAATAAATCAAATCAGATCAAATAGATATGTACAGGATGAGATAATGAGATAGTTTCTGGAGTTTTGTATTACATTGCTGTATAATGGATAATAATGTAATTTTAGGTGATGAGGAACTTTATTGAAACAGTAACATTTTTTTTCGATTTTTTTCACAGGAAAAATTAGATGCCCGTATGGTATTTGACAAGACTATTTCATGAGTAACAGTTATTCTGCATACACAAAGCTTACAAACCATACTACCTATTATACATGCATACATAATAAATATTTATGTATTAATTTGAAAACTGAAACTTAATTATTTATGGTACAATTAAAATATAAATTGCAATTTTTGGTAACAACAGCTGTCAAGTTTTGCCGCGGGTAAAAACTGCTGGCAGGTGCTGTCACACAGTTTTTCCTCCTTGAAACCATTTGTAAAAATAAAAATTGCGCGTTTGTGATTGGTGGAAATTAAGACGAGGAAAATAGTCGATAAAAATAATTCTTACCGCATTTTTTAAGCAACGACTGTTTTTGCTGTTGCTTGTTTTGTGCTTTGGTTTGCTGTAACAAACACAAATATGACGTAGGTAATTGAAAAAGCAAGGTAACTCGATTTTTAAGTGAAATTTTCACTTTTATAATTAAATATAAAATATTTTTTGTTTTCAATATTAACCAAACAAATGATGCAAGTGTAAAGAGAAAAATCAAAGTTAGTGATGATATCTTTTAGTGATCGTAAAAAAACAAATTATACCAATTAAACATTGCAAACTATGTCAAAAAATCAAATTTTTTAAATTAGACTTTTTCAGGATATTTCAGAATCGGTCAAATAGATTTCTTAACAAATTTGAAATTGTTATGAAATAGCTCAACTTTTTTGTAATTTAAGCAACTTTGTATTTCTGACGGTTTTTATAGTTTTATCTAAAACCCAGGGTCTGTCAATAAATCACGAATATTTAGATTTATATAACAATATTGTATAAAATTAATATTGATAAAATTTAACCGGCCTTGTGTGAGGCTGTTATGTAAAACTGGAATTAATACAAAAATATTTACTTACTTAATACAATGCCAAACAGACAATAAAGGCACATTTAACGAACTTATTGATTTAGCTCTATTTAAATAAGTAATTTTCTTTACATTTAACATAACATATCCCCAAACTAATACATACTCTATTAAACATTATTTTTGAGGCTCTACTTCCTATTTCTCTCTGTCATCTTACACACATGTTTAAAATGTAGAAATATTTATAAAAGTTAAATATCTATAAAAAAAATTATCAAAGGAAACTTAATCTGAATTTGTTGGCAATATTAATGAATCACAGTAATTTAACTCCAAATTAGTAAAGTCTATAGAAAGTCAGTGTAAACAGGAAGGGTGCTTTATAAGAATAATGTTGCCTATGAGCCAAGTTTAAATTTTATGCTGTTTATTTCCTATAGTTTATATACAACATATAAAACATTTATCGATTATTTTAGATATCCCGGCGCATTCGCCATTTTTAACAATATTGTATTATACAAATTGTCAAAAATGGCGAATGCTCCGGGGTATTTAAGTACATTGTCGCTCTGAGCGAGAGCGAGAGCGGCAATGTCACTTTGAACTCGTATTACACACAGAATTTTTTCAACAACCGGTGTTTCTATAAAAATGTTCAAATTTGGCTTGTGTGTCAAAAGTCGCAAATACACTAAACGTTTCTTTATTATGGTTTCCATGGTAACTAACCAAGCGTTTTGGTTACTTTGTCGCTCGGCGAGCGACAAAAAAAACGCTCGCTCCTTGAAAAAGTGCAACATTGCGCTTTCTTTTGAAAGCGCAAATTTGTACTTTTCGCTTGGTTGTAGAAAAAAAACAATTTTGTTACGCCAATATTTTACTAGTACGATGTATACAAAATCGTAAACATTTCAAATCAAAATTTTAATGACTCCGACCTTTTTTAAATCATTTTAATTTTAAAATATAGCCTAATGTATATAAATAATGCACTAAAAATTTAAAAATGGAATCTAATTTAGTTTAGGTAATAGATAAATTAAAGTACAAATGCACAGCCCGGTACATCAAAGTTCCACTACGTGACTGATAGAAATTCTAAATAAATAATTTTCAAGCTTATTTCGTCCTGCCTTCTCAAAATAATGCAATATATGTATTTTTGTTTATAAAGGTCTTAATTTAGAAGACAAAAATTACATAAATGTAGATCCCATTTTTAAATTTTTACTGTATTATCTAATCAATCGTAATGATCGTGAACTAGATAAACAATGAGAAGAGGCCCAGACCGTTCCGGTCCGTTCACCGATTTGATTTTTATAACAAAAAGAAGGTAGTACCATAACAGCAGGGTGTTGACCCAATTAGCTTTTTAAAACCAGGGTACCTGTCACTTGATTTATGACAGTGGCAATAATATTGAAATACCCTGTTATTTAAGATCTACCCAAGCTCTAGTTTAATAACTGAGTCATTTTACTTTAAAAGGGCATATACCGAAATATTGCTTTAGCATAGGCTAAATAAATAATTATGGATATCAATATTTATTTGATTGTTTGTCACTCATCCTTAGTTATTACGACGAATCTGGGCTAGATACAATCTTGGCTAACTTTAAGGTAAATATAAGTACAAGGGCCGTTTTATCAGTCTCTGGTTAAGTTTCAGTTTGTCTATCTGACAGTTAAATTGTTTATCAATCGTTGTGAGAACAATGGTATCCATGAAAATTATCTGCCAGATAAGTAACTGCAACTTTAACTGGACATTGATAAACCGGCCCTAAGGCAAGTATAGATTTAAAAAGTAAATTAATTAAACACAACGTTAAGACCAGAGTTCATACCATTAAGGTATATTTTAAAATAATAATGAATAAAAAAAATAAATGTTATTAAAACTCCAATTTAAAAAAAATAAAATTTGGAATCTGATTTTATAACTAAAACAGTACATTTTCGATAAAAGCCACTATTTTTCATATTTTTTTTGTTAATTTGTTAAATTTAAAAAGATGCAAAAATCCGTACTTTAGACAAATATGGCATTTCATGTAAAGTGGACAGCAACAAAAACCTGAGATTTTGAAATTTGTTTACATTCGGCCTAAGTATACTTTTGTATGATGATTTGTTGTCAAGTTTTGGGCTCCTAAAGATTGACGTAATATAAATCTGTCCACCATGTTCATATACGATAGCTGCTATATGCCTTATTTATTATGTTTTCATAACCAGTTTTTGATGTTTTATATATATATATATATATATATATATATATATATATATATTAATATAATATAATAATAATAATTTAATATATAATATATTTATTTAATTTTCAAATTAAATTAAGTTGTTTAAAATAAAAATGCTTGGTTACTTAAATTAAGCATTAAAGTTTAAAAATATCAGTAAAACTGTGTTTGTTATGGAAATAAAATATACAACGCATCTACAGCGAGTTAAAGTTAGCATGGTTAGCAGATGTATTTTCTAACAGGGTCTGTCAAAAAATCCAAACTTTAAATCATGGTCTTAAGTATAAATTATTAATTTTATAAAAAAATCCTCCCTATTAAAAGTTCTGCTTCCTAAAAAAGTTAAATTAGACTTTTAAAACTTAAAATAGCATGTCAAAAAGTATCATAATTTGTAAAGGACCCAGGAGTAACATTTTTATTATTACTGTTTTTAAAAAGTTAAGCCTCCTGAAAAAATTGTATTAGAATATTAAAACTTGAAATAGCATATACAGAGTAATCATAAAGTGGGATAATTTATAAATGATCCAAAAAAGAACTTTTTTATTTTTTATGGAAAAAAGTAACAGTTAATAAAAAATTTAGCTGCCTTAAATAATAATATAAAATTAAAGTTTAAAATAACAGGAAGAGGGTGTTTAATAATAATAATTTTTATTATTGGCCCAAGAGAAAGGTGCCCTTAATTTTTATTACAAAATAAAATAAGGAAACGTTGTTTAGAATAAAGAGTTATAGGTATTTCAATTTAAATTTATTGCCTTATATAAAAAATTCATTAAAAGCATTTATTAGTTATTTGGCATTTTAGAAATATCAAGAATTTAATGAGGCAATGAATTTAAACTTGAATAAAACCTTTAATTTTAAACATCTCATTTTTTATTTAGCTATAAAATAAAAATTGGGGTACTTGATTTAATTATAAATTTTCCTATTTTATGTAAATGTTATTTTAAGTTTTAATAATCTTATAATATTTTTTCAGGAAGCTAAACTTATAATATTTTTTCAGGAAAATTTAAATAAAGAATAATTTTTTGTAAAATTAATAATAAAACACTTGTAGACAACTTGGGAATACATACTGTAATAATAAATATATAAAAATTCTAATTTAATTTTTAACGCCTTATAACCTTATAAAAATTATTGTCAAAAAAGTTTAAAAAATTGATCGTTTCGTGTCAGCGAGATTTATTAATCTGGCATCGTTCATCGTATTTTAACCGACCATTTCGGCAAGCGAAATGTCTGAATACGATTTAAACCGCTCAATCTAATGGGTGATTAAAAACACGCCAGAGTCAAGCACTGTAAGGACATAATTTTGGCCAAAAAAGAGGCAGGAGTGCTCAATCACCTTCAGTTTTTACCAGATTCTGGCTATTCCAAAAATAAACTTTAATACTTTAACCCAATTAGGTCAAAAGGAAAATTTAGATACAGTTGCTAACATAAGAGGGTTTTAAAAATAATTTTGAAAAATGATTAATATATTCCGAATAAATTAATATGCAATGTTAGAATAACTAGCTACCTATTTTTATCAGTCTTCACGAATTTGGCACAGACGTATGTATATAAGGGCAAAAAATTATTTTTTTTAAATTAATATTAATTTTACCAAACCAAAATGGTTGATCAATAAAACCCGACATATTTATTTAAAAATTTAATTAAAATATATATAGTCTGGCCTACACATTCCTATAAAACTACCCAGGACAAAAAAATTACTACACATAATGCTATTCAACAAAAAAATATTTTTGAAACCAACGTCTTTTAAATGACCAACACGCTTTTTTAAACATTTTTAAAGTCAGGCCCAGTATTCCGAATGCAGCCACTTTTTCGGAATGCAGAGGTTGTTAGGCACTACTCCTTAACGTAAAAAGTGCGTTAATTCACAGGCCACTGCATAAAATAGGAAATTATATAGGCCACTTCACTCATATACGAACAGTGAAGTTTCAGAAATCTTTAGAAGTAGTCATTACTTATGCACCCTGTGTCTTTTTTATGTTTTTTTATTTTTAGATTGGACTTTGAGCAATTTAGCATTATGGGCCCAGAAATGGAAAACCACATGTGCAATAATGACCAGTTCATTATATCCGGAGGAAATCCAGTTCCACCTATTTGTGGAAACAATGTAGGAAACCATTGTAAGTAAAAAAAAAGTAATACTATTTATATAAGAATTAGATAAATATAAGCAATATAAAAAAATAAAATATAAATATAAATATTATTAAATAACAAATTTTGTTTGTTTGGATTATGTTTATGCAAATTGTTTGTTTTATGTTTCTGCAAATAAAATCCCTTTTATACAGCATATTCAAAGCAAACATTTGTTAAAGTAAACAAAATCAAATTCATATTTTCCCAAAGGATAAAGGTAGGTACATATGATTACAAAATTTAAATGAAGTGGGTAAAGCTTTTTATAAAATATTATTTTGTGTATGTTTTTGTTGTTTATAACTCAAGAAATCACATTTTTTACAAGTAATTTTAATAATCACGTGGCCATAATTTTTCCAGGGTCGAGCAAATAAACAAATTTAATTTTTTTCTTGAAAATAACAAAATAAAGAAAAAATGCAAGAGTAAAAAAAGTTGTACTTTTAGTTACTTAATCTAAAAATAATATTAAACTTATAACTAAGCAGTAGCGTACTCAAATTTTATTTTAAATATCTAGTTTGGATGCCCCAGGGGCGCCTGTGGATTAACTAAATGAAGTTTAATTACATTAAGCCCTTTATCCATTATCAAAAACCTGATGGGTTTAATTAAATTTACCATCCTGTTTTTCGAATACAAGTTTATATAAACTTTTCTTGTAATTTTTGCGAGTTCTATTTACTTCCCGATTCACCTTTTTTATTCAATTTCTAAAATTAACTATTAACTGTTTGTAATTTCAACCAAAATTTATATATCATAGATCGACTTGTTTTTAAATATAACAAAATTACAAATCCCAGAGCCTAACTGTATTGAGTCCACTTTTTTTAAATAACATTACGCATTTCTTGCCCAAATTTTTCCGCTCTTTTCAATGGTAAACAGGATTAAGTCCAATGGAAAACAGTATTAAGTCATGGCTTACTTACGTTTTGTATGTATCAAAATCTAAGTAAGCCATGAGCGAAAAATAGTAGAAAAAAAATATGTAAGGTGATTATAAAAAAGTGAACTTAATACAGATTTTAACTTGGAAAAGATTTGTATTATACTGGTTGTTGGCAGTTTGACCAAAATCCGCTTGAGGGTAACTTATACAATTAGTTTATGTTAAGCAAATTAACACCATTGGACGGTTAAAAGAAAAAATATTCAGCTCCGTAACAAAGTCAATTTTGCACAAGTTTACAGTTTACTTGTTCTGCATTACCAGGCATAAGTTTTTATAATTTATTTTACAATAATTGTATTCACCACCAAAAAAAAACCCTCACCAATGCTTTTTGACTTAAAATATCTAGCTAACAAAGCCCAATCCAGGAAGAATTCGATTTATTTATTTAAATATTTATTTATTCGATTTTAATCATGATATTTAATTAATTTATGATTTAGTTATTAAACATTTATTTAATTAGTTATTAAACACCCTGTATATTTAAATTCGCATAGTAACTTAAATACTAATAATAATAATAATAATAAAAATCGTGCACTTTAATTTATTTGTGTTTTACCTTGCAAGGAAAAAATTAAAATAGTTATTTGTTTTACAAGTGTTGAAAAGCGACTTTTTCATGCGAGTTTTTAAGTTGCCCACGAGGCCGTTAGGCCGAGTGTGCATTAACACGAGCTTGAAGAAAGCTTTTCTCACAAGTATAACACAATGTTTTTTCTGCGACCCTTTTACTTTTTATTTTTTTTAGATACAAAAACAAAATAACCTAAAAACTTTTTTGACAGCTGAATGGCAAACGATGCTGTCAATTTCTTTTCACACAGACCTGTCATTTTTCACACAGAAATGTCACTTTACATTCGTGTTTTGCCTTGCCAATGAAAAGATTCATTTTCTAAGCAACTATGCCATCATGAAAAGTGACTTTTACATAGTGATCATAGAAAAAACTTTTTTAGTACTCGATTTCGATTGATTATTCCTTATATCATTGATTAAGAAATTCAAGGTTTAAATGCTTATATACATGTAGTTACGTTAGTGTGTGTATTTTATCAAAGGGATCATGGTAAATTATTGAGTTTTTAATTGTAAATAAAATTCAAAAACTAAATCGTTGCATTTTCATGTTTTGCCAAAGGATACAATTTGGTAAGTTCATTTGTTGGTGCAGAATTAACTAATGATAACTTTACCTAATATAATTTATATTTAAGTTTGGACATTTATATTTAAGAAATTAGTAAAAAATAATTTTTGCACAAACATAACCTTAAAATCAATCATTTATATATTTAAGTTCTCTAAAAAACGCCGACAACTGCATTTTAAACAACAAAATATACCTACGAATTCATGGCAACAAAATATTATATATAACACATAATATAATGGTATTTAACCGTTGAGTGGAGACTTTAAAAAATTCTTAATAAACGCTTTTAATTATGCTAAATGCTGTTTAAATTTAGACGACTTATTTGTTTGACGATTTTTACTGAAATGAAATGTTTACACTTACACTACTAAAATGTGTATTTATTGTATCTAATAGGTACAATTTATATTTACAGAGACTTTATGCAATTTATTTCTTCATTAGGATTAATACTGTTTATTGAAAAACCGGTGAAAACTCAGGATTTCCTCTCTAAATACACCCAAAAACACAACAAATCGATCCACGTTTTTTTTATATTTTTCAACATTTTCCGGCTTTATTCTCAAAAACACTCGTTTGTAACCTAAGCGTTTGACAGCTGATTATTAAAAGTTCTACTTTTGTTACGATGATAACAGCCGAGTGGTGGCGCTACTTCTTTAGCGTATAGCTTTAATAATGACTAAATGGTCTAGGATGACACTCGATATAAAAAAAAATCATATAATTTAATTATCATTGTTTACTAAATTTTCGTAAATATTAGCCAAAAATATGTAAAAGTAGGTACTTATTGTTATGCGAAAAAGTACTTATTGTTATGCGAAATCTGACATCTGCATTTAAAAGTTTGACATTTTTATCACTTTACTCTATCCATTTGAGCAATAAAGCCCATTAAAACCATTTTATAAAATAAACAACAATTGAAACCTTTGTCATGTGTATTTCTTTAATTGTTAAAATTGTTTTGCTGAGCTTTATTGCTTAAATAATAAGACCAGAAGTTTGATTTTGAACTCTTCTTTACTTAAAGCTATCAAAATTTATATATTATAAAGAATTCTTTAAAATTAAATTTTGCCGCAGAGAAATTCTTTGTTTAGTTTTTTTATTTCAATTTTAGTATACGTTGATGCAGGAACAGGCAACACACCTATTACGCTCACCGTCGTCACCAGTGGACCTTCTTTTCCTAGAAATTGGAAAATCCGTGTTACACAGATTTTATGCTCTTCAACCAATAAAGGTAATGTTCTGATTTATTTTTTTAAATAAAAAATCAAACAATCCTTAATCTCCAACCAAAATGAAATAAAACATTTTATTAAACGCTCATTTCATTTCTTAACTTTAATTAATTTTACTTTGTCCCACTAGTGGGCAAAATAGCTTAAGTTAAAATTTATAAAAATATCAGGTTAAAATTGCTTGACAGCTGTGAGATGTCTAATAAAATATTAAATACAATTGGCCTTAAATTCCTTGTGGTAGTTGAATAAAATATATTTATAATTATTGTATTCTGTTAAAAAATACCCCAAATATACAAAAAGACGTCAAGTGACGTCTTTTGAACGTCGATTATTGGTCAATGAAGACGTCACTTGACGTCTGTCTGTTTGCTGGGGCATTTAAACTCGCTTTATTTTTCATATAAATTGAATTTTGTAATATAAAAATAATGGCATTAAAATATTACCTTCTGTAACAAAAAATGGTTTTACTTAGGGTGTTGTGTCCATGTTGTGAGAACTGGCCAAATACCTCGTTACTGTTGCTTTGGTTTTGAGCGTGCTACATAACCCGGTGTTTAATAGACCCCATCAGTGCCGGATAGCCGTGGTGTGTATATAAATATATAAATAGGCAAGGCAATAGCGGTAAGATGTAATTAGCCAGAGTCTACCGTTCAGGCGGACGTGGCCCGCTATGGGCGTCTATCCGGCACTGATGAGGTCTAATATGACAGAAACAGGCTGTCTGTCGGTACCTGGTTGTGTAGCACAAAAGCAATACAGACAAGTATTTGGCTAATTTTCACACTATTATTGTTCACATTTAAAAAAACTTTCAAACTTGCTTTAAATCAACTGGTTTTAAAAAATAAAATATTTCCATAATCACGTTTCTAAATGTATTATGTGTGTTAAAAGTTTACTAAAATATAAAATATAATAATCCTTATAGAATTAGGACGATTTGGACCAAATTGTAATATTTATTTTAATTTAAAACTCAAAATGCATTTTTGAAAATATGTTTTTAATTCCTATAAATTGTATATTGGATATAATACATATATAAAATTGTTAATTTTATTACTTTTTAATACTATAATATATATAATATTTAATATTTTAATTAAAATATTTACAAAGATAACATTTTAAATGACGAAAAAAACCAATTTTAAATCACATCACAGTTCTTCTTTAATTATTAAATGAATTTTCCTTTGTTTATAATTTTTAATTAATAAAACACAGAGTTGAAAACTCTCATGAAAAAATAATTCAGAACGCGACTTGGATTTACAGTTAGAGATCAAAGCAAAAATACAAGCAGTTTATTACAAATAAAAGTGTCGAGTAAAAATGTAAAAATTAAATATTTAAAACCAATTTTAATATTATTCAAGCCTTAAAACCTTAGGGTAAAGCAAAAAGTAAAGCAAAAAATAAAACAGATTATATTGGATTATCCGTGTGTTGTGTTTCAGCTGAGGAGGGCTGCCTGCAGTACTTTACCGGAGTTGCTGGTGAGATAAAATCTTTTAACTACGAGCTAAATATGGGTTTGCAACTTTCCAATCAAGACTACAGCATATGCATTAGAACTGAGCGCAACTTTTGCGGGATACAGTACACTCAATGCTCAGACACAGGTAATTGTCATCAACATAATTTCCTCGTATGCTTGCGAATTCTAAAATTACATTTTTAAAGACTATTAAATTTTGTATTAATGTTTTTATTCTTTATTTTTTGTTTATATTTTTTAATAATAATTATTATAATGATAATGATAATGGAGAATTTAAATTACAGTTTTGTGGGTTCAAATTAATTTGGATTTTTGTAATATTAAGTGTGCCTCAATTAATTTACAGATTAGGTTTTGTAATTTCAATAAATTTAAAAAAAATGCACTTAGACAGTTAAATATTTAGTACAATACCAATGTGTCAGATTTTACATAATGTAATCCGGTTTTGCTCAAGCCACACAATAAAGCTATTAGCCAATAATTCTAATGGACAGGTTGTTAAGTGCTAAAACATGTATGTTTATCGACCTCAACACATGAGCCACTACTACAAAACTAACAAAACCGTTATTTCCCAAATCGGCTTTTTTCACAATGCGATGATCTTAATCAATTGTTTATAACCTAAAAATAATGTTAAAACAAAAAAGTAATTTCTAATACCGTTTAATTAACCCTACGTAAAAAATTAAACATTTTTCATTTTAATAAAATGTAAAAAATTAATTAACTCGCTACCAAATAGTATAGCAATACCCAAAACATATTATACAGTGTGACCCATTTGTTTGCGACTCACCCCTGTACAATCTTTATTTATTGTGCGATTTTAATCGGATTTTTTTTAAGTGTAGATCTTGATAAACTGTATTTTTGAAACAAAAAACACCATATTAGTACAAAATACAAGGCCTACTATGTCAGTTTTTAATAATAAATTTTTAAGAATTCATATTAGTGATTTTTTTAAACAAAATCTAAGCACGGCACTGGATTCACCACCCCTCAAAACAACCCTTTACAAAATTTTATTAAAAAATTTTAAGTATAAAATGCACAATAATAACTATAAAAATTTATTTTGTCAAGTTATCCATGTAAAAACATTGAAATAAAATTAAACTAATAGTAATTTTATTTCAATGTTTTTTTCATGGATAACTTGACAGAATAAATTTTTGTAGTTATAAGGGTTTCAATAAAATTTAGTATAGGGTCGTTTTGAGGGGTGGTGAATCCAGTGCCGTGCTTAGATTTTTTTTTAAATCGCTAATATGAATTCTTAAAAATTTACTCTTAAAAACTAGCATAGTGGGCCTTGTATTTTGTAAAATTATGGCGTTTTTTGTTTTAAAAATACAGTTTATCAATATCTACACTATAAAACAGATCCAGTTAAAATCGCACAATAAATAAAGATTTTACAGGGTTGAGTCGCAAACAAATAGGTCAAACAGGTACTGTATATATTGTAGGATATTTACCGCTCTATAAAAAAGGTATTTTTTTTTAAAGAACACTTATTTACATAAATAAAAAAAATTAAATTAAATTAAAAAAATGTTTTTTTAACTTTATAACTGACTAAGAACAGTATAATTATGCATTACTTTGTTTCAAACTTTATTACAAAACCTAATACAAAATTTATAATAAAAATTTAATAATAGTTTTAATTTTTGTCAAATGCAATGTTATTAATAACAAATATATAATATAATAATTGTGGTAGTTTTACAACTTGTTTTTTCTTATTTCATGCAATCCAGCTATTTCGCTTAATTTTGTTATAATCACGTGGTCATACTCATTTTCTTTTAATTGACGTTATAGTTTTTTTACCATAATGAGTATAAAAAACCTACTTGTCTGTTAATATTGTTATAAACAGCAATATTTAAAATTAATTTTATAAAATAATTGCAAATGTAATTTTCTTTCCTAAATAAATAAAATTATTTTTCTACTCCCACCTTTAAAACGCCATTTAACGTACATGTTTCCATGACATACACATTGACAAGTTGTGGCTTTATGGCGGTTTAGTCACGGGCTGAAGTTAGTTTTAAGTTAGTTGACAGTTGTCAAATATCATACAATCGTTAAAATAAATTGCCTTTCTTGTAAAATAATACTAAATGTGAAAATTATTTTATTATATCAATACAAAAATACAAAAGTATTAAATAGTTTCTCAACGCCAATATTTGTAAAGTTTATATGAACATTGTACTGACCTTTTAATTTCGCCGACAGTAAACTATAACTTAAATTCGGGCACGGACTTACTGTAAAGTGCTTATAAACCATTTTCTTTACTTTCACTGTGATAAACTGTCAATTTTCAAGAAATACATTTCGATTTATAACCTTTATAGTTGTGTTTATAAAATTTAAAAATTCCGCTATAGTTTCCTAGATGGCGCTCTATACAAATTTTTGATTTAAATCATTTTAGGATAATAATAAGAATTTGTCGTAGAAAAAGTATAGTATGCACCTCGTTTATAAACTTTTCTATACACTCATTAATTTAAGCACTCCCTTGCAAGCTCGCTCGTGACTAAATTAAATTCGTGTATAAAATGGCGTTTATCAAACTTAATACATAATATACTATTATCTACTCCGTCATTGACAAGCTGTGACTTTATGGCGTTTTAGTCACGTGCTAAAGTTAACAACAGTGGCCTTTGGGCATTTTAGTCAAGGGCTGAAGTAAGCTTTATTATAAAATGCAGAAGGGAGGTTAAATTCGTCAAATTTCAAATATTTATGCCTTAAAATTTGCTTTAAATTCTTATTTCTGTTCGTCGTAGATAAAGTATAGTATGCAACTCGCTTTATAAACTCCTCTAGAAACTCGTTTTTATTAAATACTCGCTCGCAAGCTTCGCTCGTGCCTAATAAAACTCGTAACTAAAATGGCGTTTATATTTATAGTTTTAACTTGATACATAATATACTATTTTGCAAAAAATGGTGAATGCACCGGGATTAATTATAACAAAAATAGTTTATATTTCATTTTTGTTTTTATTTATTAATCTTAACATAATATTTTAACTCTTTTAAAAAATATATTGGAACAAGAAAAAATCAGTCAACCCTACAAAATGATGTCTACGGAATTTCTCATACCAAAATTAAGCAAAATAATCACATTGCATGAAATACGAAATTTTAGACTAGCACAGTGTAATGATAGATGACCCTTAACATTTGTTATGGTTAATTTTTAAGTTAAGAATATTTTTATTATACAGTGTGGTTCTAATGGAACAAAATTCGTTATTCGATCAGAAAAGATTTTTATAAAAAACGCTTAAAATTATAATTTTAAATATTTTGCCCCCACCATATACCCAACTCCATTTATCTTAAATATAAACCCCACTTTTTTCATCAAAAGACGATAAGTAGGGTTTGTAAACATAGTTTTTAATACAGGGTGAGTATGAATTTGTTATTGTTATCCTATATTTTAGTTAAAAAATGCGACACTTAACAAAAACTCTGCAAATAGAAATAATAATTGGTTACGGTGATATGTACAGATTACATAAGCAAGTTGCAAAAATTTATCATGAAAAATCTGGGTGTTTTTACCACAACTTTCTCATGCAAGTGTGTCTAAAATACATGCACAATTTCGTGAATATGGACACGTTAAACTATTACGCAGGGCGACCCATTTTATTGATAAAAAAGTCAATATTTTATTAGCTTTTCAAGAAGATCCAGGAACTTCTAGGCATCAAGTTGCACGTAAAAACGACGTTAGTCATTCGACTTTATTAAGATGTGTAAAATCCGAAAAATGCCTATAAACTAAACTCGCACAAGAATTGATTGACGGTGATTCTGATATAAGATTGCAATTTTGCGAGCAAATTCTGGATATGTTAAACAGGAATGTTATATCTTCTGCATGTATTATTTTTTCTAATAAATAAACATTTGTTCTAAATGGAAAAGTAAATAGGCAGAGGAAAACCCCCACTGTATGCGAAAGTCATACCAAAAGTCCTCAGAAAATCAACGTTTGGGCGGTTGTGGTGAGACCTATTTTTATTGAAAATCTTAACAAGATATCTGCAAAATCTAGAAGAACAAGTTGTTTCAACTTTAGCAAATTTGTTTCCAAATTCATTGAAACCTAATTTTCCCAATAAAATCCACACAGGTGAATCGGAAGAAGAGGTTTCATAGAATGGCCAGCAAGATAACCAGATCTAACACTTTTAGACATTTTTTTATGGGGACAACTAATGTGGTAGGGAAAAATGGTGGGGGCAAAAAAAATTAAATTATAATAGAAGAGTTAAAATAAAAAAAAAAGTTAACTTACCCGAGCAATTTTCATACAAATCTGTTTTCATCGAATAACGACTTTGTTCCATAAGTGAGAACCACACTGTATAATTAATTGTTTTGAGGAGGTCCATTCCAGCTTATTCACTTTTTAATAAAAATGAGTTAGTGGTGTCTGTACATTAAACATGTAGCCCCTATACCCTAAAAAGGTCATAGTATTCTAAAACTCACCTTATTCCATTTAAAATTGATTTAAAAATTGACCATCTCTCTAAAATAAACTTTTGACTTTTTAAAACATGTTTATTTTAAAACCGATTAGGTATTCCAAAACTCACTTTATTCATTTTGTAATTTTCAATTATTTTAAATTATAATACTTATGCCTATATATTTTGTTTAAAGTATTTCTGTTGGCCTAATATGCATTAGTTCTCACGTAAAAGGTTTTTTACATTTTGCTCAAAACCACCAATATGGATAAGCTGGGTTTTGAAATGCACCTTCTCATTTTTCCACAGATTTTTTAGAATTATCCACATTATCAAGTCTGTTGTTTTTTGACATAAGCGTGGTATCTTTCTATAAAAATTATGTTGTATATACCTATGTCAAAATATAAATAAATTAGCTTTAACATGACTATTGTTTATGAATACTTATCAAGAATTACACATGAAATAAAAATGTTTTACTAAGATTAATATAATATTTTGGGAAAAAATATTTATATATAGGGTTAATTCCTCTTGAAATTACAAGAAAAATTTTCCTTTACAATTTTTTGAATTATAAAATTAAAAAATGTAGGTATATATAAATAATAAATAAATAATTATCTTTATTATTAGCAAACGCTATTAACAATACAAATGTACATATAAAATATACATTACCTATATAATAAAAAATAACACAGTTCAATTTTTGTTTTCACAAAAGATATCGGTCTTAAAACTAATTAAATTATTACAGTTTTTTTATATCAGTTGATAAATTGTTATACAATTTTAACCCATTAATAAAATCGCACTTTGTTAAAATGTTCAACATAAAAATCAGTATTATTTCTTGTTCTGTAATTGTGAATATTTTTTACTTTGTTTAGTTTATTATTTAAATAGAATGGTAATATTCCAAGTTTAACTTTAAAAATAAATAACATTGTTTTTACACTTAAAAGATTTAAAGTATCCGACATTAAAATAATGGGCGTAAGTTTGTTACATTTTAAAACAATGCGTAATGCTTTGTTTTGTAATTTTTTCATTTCATTTTTGCTAATATTAAATAGGATTGTGAAACAAAAATCACAGTGGGGGGCTATAATGGCTTTACATAACAAGAGTTTTATAAAAAAGATAATCTTTCACTTAACCTACCCATAAAATAAATCTTTTTTAAAATGTTATTATACAAATAATGAACATGGTCTTTGAAATCTAGTCTATCATCTACTATTACACCCAAGTATTTTATGTTATTTAATTTTTCTAGTTCATTATTATAAATACAAAGTGTACATTTTTAGTTTTATGACTAGGACCAATTAACATATACTTACGTTTTATTAACATTCAGACACATATTATTTTTACATAATCATTTAACACTATATTGGGTTGAGAGTTCATGATATTAAATATTATTCCCTATTACATAATATGTGTAAAATATGCATGTTTGCTAGTATTATCACTGATAATTTATCAGTAAAGATGCATATTTTACAATTTTTCGAGAAAAATTAATTTTTCATTATTTCTTTGATTGTTATTTAAATACGATTCGCGTTAAGAAACATCCATTTAGTTGTACAGGGTGAGCAAAAATACTGATTTTCAAAAAAAAAATATTTTTTTAAGCCCTAATATAAAGAGCTGGTAAGGAGAAATCAAAAAGGTTAATTAAGTTTTTTCATATGAGTTTTTGATACTAAGATATTTGATATTGAAAATGTAAGATATTAGTTTTCAAATTTTAACAAATAATTGTAGACATTGTAGACATGTCAGTTGAAAGCAACAACCTTGATTCATAATCACAAAATGAGATAGCAGTCAGTTTTTACTAAATAATAGGACCTGAATTGATTTTATTTTTAATAACAAATATCTTAGTAACAACAACTCACATGAAAAATCTTTTTAAGCCCTAATATAAAGAGCTGGTAAGGAGAAATCAAAAAGGTTAATTAAGTTTTTTCATATGAGTTTTTGATACTAAGATATTTGATATTGAAAATGTAAGATATTAGTTTTCAAATTTTAACAAATAATTGTAGACATTGTAGACATGTCAGTTAAAAGCAACAACCTTGATTCATAATCACAAAATGAGATAGCAGTCAGTTTTTACAAAATAATAGGACCTGAATTGATTTTATTTTTAATAACAAATATCTTAGTAACAACAACTCACATGAAAAATCTTTGTATTTTTTGCGCACCCTGTATGACAAAATATAAGTTTCTTATCGTGAATGGTATAACAAGCAGAATAAATTATAAAAAGTGACTTTTCTTCGAAAAATTGAAAATAAATATTTTTACAAGTATAGTTAAGTCCATCCGTGGACACACTGTATTTAACTAAATCAATAAGAACACAACTAACAAAGGACCTAAAAAGACGCCATGAATAGTATCAAATTAAACCATTAAAGATTTAAACCATTTTAAAACGTTTCCAGAAAATCCTATTTTATTTAACTTACTTAATAATATAGCTCTTTTAAATTATATATAATTATTATTTATTTGGGAGGCTACAATAGTTTTTTCAATAAACATTTAAAGTTTAAATTTTTGAACACAAACTGTCAACAATGTTAACTTCAGATAGCTGCTAGATGCCTTGTTTATTTTGTTTCCATAAGCCCTTTCAGTGTGATATTCAACACAGTAAAAACAGCTTTGCCGAGTTTTATTTTTTAATTTTAATAATAAATAGCTCAAAAACTGCAAAAATTAGTAATTTTTATACCTAAAATATTTTTCCATTTTCGTGACACCTGACACCAAGACTTATTTTTAAAATGATCTATTTTATATTTTAAGGAGTATAAAAAATGTAAAAATAATAGCAATCCTTTAAAATTTACAGAAGAAGTAAAATACGATCTTCTTTTAATTGAGGTAATATTTCAATAATATAATCAATACAACTCATTCTGCTCTATAGGTCCACTGATTAAATGTTTTGAATTTTCTTGAGTAAAATCGCTCAAGCATAAGTTTCTTTTAATTAATGACTTATTTTTTCTTTAGGATATTACTATAATTTTAAATTGGTGATATACTGTGTTACTTGTAATAAGTTAAATATTGTTTTAGAGAACTACGTCATTGTTAAATACAATCGTGAATGCAGCACTATGATCCAAAATCTAAAAAAGCTAAAACATTTTAAGTTGATTTTTTTATGATTGAACCTCGTGTACTTAGGATTATTTTTTGTCGAAACTATTGTATATGTGTTATTTTGTCAAACAACATTGGATTCCTAATTAGTGACTGGTTTTGTCAAATTTTGATAATAATTTTAAAGAAGTATTTTGAAAACCAAGATCTAATTCTTATCAAAACCACTCTTAAGCACAAAAATTAACAAAATGTAAATAACTTTTGAGATCAAAGCATAATGCGTATTATTCAATTATCCCTTGTATTAAATTATTTATTTTCAGTTCACAATAGAACACAGTCTTTCACTTTATCTGGCGATACCAATAATCAAGTCCCAGCGATGGTGGGAAGTACAGGCAGCGCGAACTTCTGTCAAGCTGATTATTTAATTATCCCTATGGCTTCAAACGTTGGTAGACCTGTCACCGGACCATCGGCAAATGTTGATAGAATATGTGGAGGAATACTCAGTGCGGACGTAACGCTGACACCCACCACAATACGAAGTAAGTATATGTAATTAAATTGATATTAACATAAACATACTTTTAAAAAACAAATAATGATTTTACACATTCGTATAAATTAATAACAATAAATAATTTTAAGTAAATTAACTTAATAATAACGCAATGTGTTTTGAAAATAGTCAAATTGGTAGATTTAAATTTTAAAAAAGTCAATCGTATGTCATAAGTTATGACTCATAACTAAAGATGGGATATTTAGGTACTAAAAACTTAAAAATAGGTAACTAAAAAGGTACTAAAAAAGCATTTTAGGTTAAAAAAACAGCATTTTAGGTAAAAAAAAACATTAAAAGTTTTATAAAATAAGTAAAATATTTTTTTTATAAACTGACCAATAGTTAATTAAAGCTATAAGGAACTGAAAATATAACAGGGAATACCTGATATTTACCAAATTTACTACTAGAGTAACAAACGATAAAGTAACATAAAATAAAACTTTGTATATAACTTAAGGTAGTTGTCGTGCTGTAAGCATACCATCAGAAAATTTGACATGACTGTGGTATCCGTAATAATAAGACTCAGGTATTTGTATATGTAGAACACTCTTTAATTGATCCAATATCACACAATAATATATAACAAGTAAATAACTAATAAAGTTTCTCACAATAATAATTTATAAGTAAATAACAAACAATGTTTCGGCTCCCCGTGTTGGAACGAGACTGATTCACAATCGTTGAGTTATAGTTCGCGTTGCTTGTCTTACGCAACACTTAGTCATCCTCAACACGCTCCCACAATCCGTCCCTTCTTTTTAGTTTGAAGGGTCTGATAGCTTCAGTCGGTTCCCGGTTTTCCGATGGCCCTAGGCTGTCCATGGCATCTGGAGTTTGGCTAGGAGGCGTGCTGGCTTCCGGTTCTTCTCCTATGTTGGGTAGACTTTGTGGTTGAGAATTGGTGTTAGATGAAGACCTCAAGCTTTCTTCTGATCTGATAGCAATTGGTTTTACGTGACTGACATGTCTTCTAATTGTTTTGTTTTCACCGAACAGTACCACTTCGTTTCCGTTCCTTTTTATTACTTTATAGTCGGCATCTTTGAATTTAGACGTTAGTTTATTCCCAGGGACCATATTTTGTACCACTACAGTATCGCCGACTCTTATCTCACTTCCTTTTGCCACTCTTTCCCTGTCTTCTGCTTTTTTTCCCTTTTCTTTTCTTAAAATGTCATTATCTTGCGCTTCTTGATCGATTTCTTCTCCCATTATATCAGTAATTGAAGGAATTTTGTCGCGGATTGTTCTGCCATACAAAAGCTCTGATGGCGATTTTCCTGTGGTTCCATGCGGGGTAACATTGTACATCATAATAAATTTGTTTATTTCGTCTTTATAGTCCTGGTTATTATTGTAAGCGATTTTTAATCTCTTTAGGATTGACTTGTTCATATTCTCCACTTCTCCGTTTGCTTGTGGCCAATATGGTGGTGTATGTATGAGTTTTATTTTATTTTGGTTGCAGAAATCCTGGAATTCTTGGCTTGTGAATTGTTTACCGTTATCCGATCTTATAGACTTCGGTATACCCAAACGAGAAAATAGTTCTCCCAAGCATTTGATGATGACGATGGACGTTGTGCTTTTTATGAATTGAATATCCTGGAATCTGGAGTAATAGTCTATTACCACTAGTACTTGTTCTCCATTAGGTAGCGGTCCCATTAAGTCAATAGCCAACCACTGCCATGGTCCTTCAGGGAATTTATGTCGCGTCATAGCTGGTGGTTTTTCTGGTTGGCTCACGAGTAAACACTCTCTACACCTCTTGACGAACTGCTCAGTATCTCTGTCAATTAACGGCCACCATACTTTGGCCCTTAGGCGCCTTTTCATCACGCTGCTGCCAGGATGTCCCTCATGCGCGAGTTTCAATATCTGGTGTCTTTGGGATAATGGTATCACAATTCGGTTATTTCGCAGTAGTATAGAGCCAAGTGTAGTGAGCTCGAAGCGAAATGGATAATAAGGGTTTTTATCCGAAAGCTCCCAAGAGTCGTCCGAGGTCTTCACGGTTGCATAGGTAAGTTCTGCGTCCTCTTGACTGGCCGTGATTATTTCGTTTATTGACATCGCCTGGGGTGTATTTTTTTCAATTAGTGAAAAAATGTGGTTTTCACTGTCTCCATCAAAATTAGGTGCCTCATCCACTGAACATAATCTCGAAAGTGAGTCGGCGATGTTCGATTTTCCTGATTGGTAGATTACTCTGAATCTGAACGATTGTAGTCTAAGTACCCAGCGTTCAATTCTGGCTGGCGGTCTGGACGAGGGTTTAAAGATTGTCTCCAAGGGTTTGTGGTCCGTAACCAGTTCGAACTCAAGTCCCATTAGGTAAAAGTAGAATCTTTCCACACCCCAGACTAACGCTAGGCTTTCTTTTTCGGTCTGTGAGTACCGTCGTTCCGTATCTGATAAACCCTTACTGGCAAATGAAATTACTCTCGGAATGTTTCCTTCAAATTGCAACAGGACTGCTCCTAGTGCAACTGGACTTGCGTCTGCTATTAGACGAGTTCGCCTTGAAGGGTTAAAGTATGCCAGGGTGGGCGGTTCTGTTAAGGCCCTTTTCAATTTCTCAAAGTTCTGTTGATGATTTTGAGTCCAGCTGAATTTTGTATCTTTTTTAGTTAAGTTGCGCAGCGGTTCCGTTATGTCAGCTAAATCCGGAATAAACTTCCCCAAGTATGTGACCAGTCCTAGGAAACTGCGTACTTCCTCCTTTGTTAACGGTGGACGGAAATTTAATATTGCCTGAATTTTATTTTTATCAGCATTAATTCCATTTCCCGAAATGTGATGACCTAGAAACTCTAGCTCCTGCACTTTTGTCAGACACTTAGCCTTATTCAGGTGAACGTTGTTTTCTTTAAAGACCTCAAGAACTTTGTCTAAATGGCGATTGTGATCTGTTTCTGTAGTTCCATAAACAATTACGTCATCCAAATAGTTTAAAGTATTTCAACAAGGTGCGAGTATATTTTCGAATATCCGTTGGAATATTTCAGGTGCACAGGACACCCCAAACATCAATCTCTTATATTGAAACATCCCCTTATGTGTAATAAAGGTCGTAATTGCCCGACTTTCCTTGGATAGTTCAATTTGATGGTATGCCCACTCCAAGTCCAATCTTGAGAAATATTTGGCATCTCGTAGTTTACTCATGATCGATTCAAAAGTTGGGAGTGGGTAATTTTCCCTTTTTATTGCCTGATTAGCCCTTCGCATGTCAACGCATATTCGGATATCTCCAGTGGGTTTAAAAGTCACCACGATTGGGGAAATCCAAGGGCTATAGCCATGAACTGGTTCAATGATGTCCCGTTTCAACGCTTCGTCCAATTTCTTTTCTACCAGTGCTTCTACCGCTATAGGTACTCGTCTAAGTGGTTGTTGTACTGGTTTTACTTGTGGGTCTATTTCGAGTTTTACTTTTATGTTTTTAATTTTTGGAAACGGTTTTAATTCCTCGATCCGGTTTACTCCTAATCCCAGTTTTAGAACTCCCAACCGTTGAGCTGTTTCTTTTCCTAGGATGGATATTTCCCCACTATCAACCACGAGAAATGAGGTTAATACCTCATTTTGGTCCGCTGTTCTGACTGTAGTTTGAAATTTGTGTTGTGCTTCTAGGGATTGTCCGACTGCATATGGTCTTAGCGTGCTTTTAGTTTTTGAATCCAAGTTCCAAATTAGGGCTTGCTTTTCTTTCAGATTTGTCCAATCTAACCCATTTACAATATTTACTTTAGAGCCAGAGTCGATCAGTAGGGTCAATGGTACCCCTCCCACGCTACATTTGATATATTCATCTTGTTCAATTTCCTTTTGGACCTGTTGTCTTCCACTAAGCTGGAAACACTCGTAACGCCTAGGTGTTTCCTTTTCCTCTGTGTCTTGGTTCGCCGGATCAGAATTTATGTAATTAACACGTGATCCTTTTCCCATTCTTCTTTTATTGGGCCTATTATATTCCATCTGTGGCCTTTTACGTGCATTTTCTGATTTTGTATAGCATTTATTTGCGAAATGTCCAACTCGCTCACATTTAAAACATTTGGCGTCTCTAGCCGGACACCTCGAATCATTTCCTTGATGTTGTATCTTTCCACACCTCGAGCATGGCGTGTTGTTAGGTTTCTTAATTAATATTCCATTTATGGATGTAGATGTGGAAGGAGTAGCGACAGTTCCCGTGTCCATTATTTTTGTCTGGTCCTTAATCTGCTCGTGGATCTGGCATAGGTCTATTACTTCCGATAGAGACCTCTCTTTTTCCAGAAGTTTGGTTTTTAGGTCAGCGGAAGCCCAGTCATCAATCAGTTTGTCCTTGATGTTTATCTCCGACGATTCTTTCTCGGACTTGCCAAAAGAGCACTTCGTTACCTGTTGCCTAAGTCTTAGTAGGTATTTGTTTAGAGACTCTCCTCCTTCCGGTTTTAATTTTCTGAACGAATGACGTTCAAAAGTAGAATTTTGAACAGGTGAAAAGTAATTGGTTAATGTTTCAACCAAAACTTGAAAAATGTCAACCCCACTTTCGGTATTTAAATCAACCACTGCTCCAGGGATATTGTACGCAACTTCTTGTAGCTGTGGGCCTCCGAGGTGTAACAGTTTATTTCTTCTCTTGCTTTGATTTGTTATTTCCTCCGCATCCAAATAAAGACGAAAAGAACGGATCCATTTTTCCCATTCATTTCTGATGGAAGCCTTATCAATGTCGTCGCATCGGAATGGTTTAATTCCTGATGATTCGCTCATGGTCAACTAACTAGACATACAGCTAAAAAAAATAATATTCAACAGTTTCTGCTCATATGATTCACACCTTTTGTTACTCGATGTAACAAGTATGGAATAAAAAGTTGGAACTGTTTTTTTTTCAGGATTTAACCAGGCCCTTTTTGTATATCAGGATTTAACCCGATCCACTTTTATCAGGATTTAACCCGATCAACTTTT